ATTTTTCCAACCGGTTGGGACAAGACATATTGTCTAAGACATATAGAATCCGAAGGATTTACAACTATTCATTTCTTTGGTGATAAAACATTCAAAGTAATTACTTGATTTAATCTTTTCTGATTTTAAAGATGAATCCACCAACTAACTAATCAATTATTTCCTCAAAAGGGAGGAAACGACTATGAGATTTACACTCATCCAAAAATTATCGGCCACTCAGTTTCGAGTCCTGAAGATACTATCCGAGAATTAAAACAATTGTTTCCGATTTAAAGTTTTGAGATTACATTATTTATTAGAATTTAATATTACTAGATAATATTACTATATAATATTACTAGATAATATTACTAGATATTACTACTAGATATTACTGTAATAATAATAATAATAATAATAATAATAATAATAATAATAATTTATTCGCCACGAATTTACGCGTGACACTATACAAAGTTACTTTGTTCAACAATCTCTATGCCACATACCATACCGTGTAGAGCCACACTCTGTCAACAAGATACTTGGTTTTAAAATGTAAAAATTACATGCATTTTCGGCTTTTACAATGATGACTGAGAACAAGTAGATGGGAAAATTATTTTAAAAAGTAAAATGAAAACATCGTACAAGGCGAATTATCAAATTCATTGAACATAATTTGACTATTCGCTGAAGATCTTACGCATCAAGAATTCAATTCCTTGATTTCGGTAGAATCAATAACATCTTCAGGTAACAATAATATCCGCATTAGACAGTACTTTAGAATGATATTGTAGAAGGTGAATATTTTACTCTGCAATTAAAGTCTTAATTTTTAAAAGAATTGTACAACATAATGAAAATAATTTTATTTGTTACGAGGAATCGAAGACCTACATTGATCCAACGGGATGAGCTTTTACTGTACATTGGAATTTCAATAAGTGTGCAAATTTGAGGTGTGACACAGATATTACCAGTGGATCGTATGACATTTTCAATTTGCCTTTTTTACTTTTTGTCCGGGAAATGCACAAACATGAGATTGGCAATTTCTTATATTGGCTGCTATGGGGGGGATCTAGTTACTGGCTTTACCGGTTTTTTTTTCCTTACTGAGGAAAAAAAACCTTAACGTTAAAAATTTATGGTAATTATGATTGTTAACAACAATAAATTTCTTATTTACACTTATATTCTTTAATTCCAAAACGGGAATAGATCAAATTACTAATACTAAATTTAGTAGGAAAATCCCGAGTTTTTTTTAAAAAAAAATGAAATTTTTTAAAATGCAATTCATTCCGTCCTTTTTTTCTGAAGTGGAATTCTTTGGCTTAAAGACTCGTTATGACTTTCCAACGAAGTAAGCACAAGACTAATACGTTTCTAACATCTAAGAGTCCACGAAGATCGGAATTTGACCAATTTTTTTTAAATATTTTTAATAGTCGCATATATTGCCTCATTTGCACGTACACCAATTGGTGGTTTTAATGGTTCTTTGGCTTCTTTGAGTGCTACGAAACTTGGATCACTTGCAATACAAGGTATATTATAATACATGTTTACCTCTCTTAAGCGAAGGAATATTTTATTTTTCCGTTTATCATAATGTAATGACATGTGATTTTATTGTTAAGCCGCTTTAAAGAAGGCGAAAATTGAACCGAATCAAGTGGATGAAGTCTTTTTTGGCAATGTTCTTTCAGCAAATCTTGGTAATTTTCTTGTCATCTTGCAGATGTGATTGCACGCAATTTTCACAAAGAAACTTTCTCAGATCGGCGTTCGTCTCTTATCGAATCATTTAATTATTATCAGGTCAAAATCCTGCACGTCAAGCTGCATTAGGAGCTGGTCTTAAAGAGTCGGTGATAGCGACAACTGTTAATAAAGTTTGCGCTTCTGGAATGAAAGCGGTCATTCTTGCTGCTCAAACAATCATTACTGGTAATGCGGATGTATGTATGCATAAAACTTTATTCTCAGCATTTTTGGAAAAATGAGTTTAAGTCTACACAGAACTTCGTCTTATCAATAAAGTTTTCATTTAGATTGTTGTTGCTGGTGGTGCCGAATCAATGACAAATACACCGTATTATGCGCCTAAAGCACGATTCGGGTCAAAATACGGCGATCAGTCCCTTGTCGATGGTATTATCAAAGATGGATTAACTGATGCGTACGATAATAAATTGATGGGGATGGCGGCTGAAACTTGCGCAACAGAACATAACTTTAATCGTGAAGAACAGGTATATATTGAGAAAGAGAATATATATATATGTTCATAGCGTAGAATTGTTTTCTAAATTGTTAAGGAAATTTGAATTTTTTAAATAGGATGAATATGCTATTTCATCTTATAAACGAGCTCAAGCTGCTCAAGCTGCCGGTTATTTTGAAAACGAGATTATCCCTGTGACTATAAAAGGGTCTAGAGGCAAGCCTGATATAATTGTGAATAAAGATGATGAAGCGTCAAATGTAAGAATGAATCTTTTTTGTTTTATTATTCGATGTTTTTTTTGGTTTTTGGTTTGATTCTTTTTTTCTTATCAATATCTTATCAATAAAAAAGCTCAATATCGACAAATTACGAGCAATTAAACCCGTTTTCGTTGATAACGGTACGGTGACTGCTCCAAATTCATCACCACTCAGTGATGGAGGTGCAGCTTTGGTTTTAATTAGTGCAGAGAAAGCACGCGAACTAGGAGTAAAGGTGATTGGTAAGATCGTTGGTTGGGGCGATGCAGCACAGGTAGGCATTTATTCTTCAATTTAAATATATTTACTGTTGATTATTAAAATATAATAACTAAAATCATATCTACTTGTTATGAATTAGGCGCCATATAAATTCACAACTTCACCATCTCTCGCAATTCCAAAAGCACTCAAACACGCTGGCAATATACCACTTTCAGCGATCGACTATTTCGAAATCAATGAAGCATTTTCTGTGGTAGCATTGGCAAATCTAAAGCTTCTTGGATTAGATAAAGACAAAGTGAACGTGTTCGGTGGCGCTGTGGCCATGGGTCATCCATTGGGCTGTTCGGGCGCCAGAATTATTGCCACATTATTGAATGTGTTGACAACTAAAGGCGGCAAAACTGGTGTTGCTGGTATCTGCAATGGTGGCGGTGGTGCCAGTGCTGTTGTCATTTCGTTGGATAACAACATTTCGTAAGATTTATATCGTTTCTATTTTTGTATTCCTTCAAAATTTTTTGTTAATTTTTTCTTTGAAATATATCTACACTCCTCTCGTATGAATAATAAATTATTAATTTATTTATTTTATTCAAATTCTATACATGTATACAGAAAACTTTGAAATCATATTCATTCGTCAAATATTCGATTATGTAATGTTGCTTGGTTAATCAAATAATTCACGTGCTTATAGAGAATAATTCTGTATTGATGTAAATTATCATCATCTATTATCTATCGTCATGAAATAAATTTTCATCTTAGATTGGCGTCTGGCGCCTTGTGGTAGATTATAAGAAAAGATTCACATACATATCGATAATTTTTTCGAGATGCTGAGATAATAATTATATTTATCATAGATCAAAACTTGATCAAATCTAAAGATTTTTCCCGAAAATTTTCTATGTAAGAAAATAGATAAATATCCAATTTTTCTGAGTTTCTGAGTTTTGTTTTTTTAAACATAACTTTCTTTCAAGACAATAAATCACTTCCTAGAATTTACATACCCACATATTACTGAAAATGTCAAAAGGTCGTGTACTATTAGCATATTCTGGTGGTTTAGATACCTCTTGCATCTTGGTATGGCTCATTGAGCAAGGATACGATGTATTTGCCTATATGGCAAATGTTGGACAAGAAGAAGATTTTGAAGCGGCAAAGGTTAAAGCTTTGACAATTGGTGCTAAAGGTGTTTTTATTGAGGTAAAATTTGATATGCGTGATTGAGCAAGGATGATTTGATAAGACTGAAAGGTTCCGTTAATTAAATTTTAAAATTAAATTAGGATCTACGTAAAGAATATGTAGAGGAATTGATCTTCCCCTCGGTTCAGGCGAATGCAATTTATGAGGTGAGATTATATATTTTTATATTAGGCAAATTGATGTTTCTGATTAATGGTTCTTATACAGTTATTTTCTTTATTTAATAGAATGTATACCTATTGGGTACTTCACTTGCTCGTCCGGTCATTGCTCGTCGTCAAGTGAGTAAAAGATATAAATTCTATTGATCTGTTGAGATAATCAAACATTTTACTCAACTATTTTATTGCAGATACAAATCGCTATCCGCGAAGGATGTCAATTCGTGTCGCATGGCTGTACCGGCAAAGGCAATGATCAAGTTCGTTTCGAGTTAGCTTATTACGCTTTGAAACCTGACATTAAAGTCATTTCCCCGTGGCGTATCCCTGGTATGAAGAATAATCAATTCTCGAATGCTTTGATGAGGATTTAATTAATAAGCAATTAATTTTTCACACAATTAGAATTCTATGAACGTTTCCCCGGTCGGCAATCTCTCCTTGAATATGCCGCACAAAAGAATATTCCCGTTGTTCAGACCACAAAGGCACCTTGGAGTACCGATGGAAATATTTATCATATATCATATGAAGTGAGGTTTCTTATAATTGTCTTGAATATTGATCGCGATATCAGAGACAATATTTAACATATTTTGGTCTATTATTAATTAGGCTGGTGTTCTTGAAGATCCAAATGCGACTCCACCAAGGGATATGTGGCAACTTACTGTTGATCCAGAAGATGCACCAGACACACCAGAACGTATCACCATTATCTTTGAAAAGGGTGTTCCAGTTAAAGTTCACAATCATAATGATGGCACTACTCACACCGACTCGCTGGAACTATTTCTCTATCTCAACACTTTAGCTCGTCGTAACGGTATCGGTCGTATCGACATTGTCGAGAACAGATACATTGGAATAAAATCACGTGGATGTTACGAAACACCCGGTGGCACTATTCTCCGTGCTGCACACATCGACTTGGAAGGATTAACGCTAGATCGAGAAGTACGTCGATTACGCGATCAATTCATCACTCCAACCTGGTCAAATTTGTTGTATAACGGCCAGTACTTTTCACCCGAGCTGCAATTCATTCGACCATCACTTATTGCCAGTCAAGAATCTGTGAACGGTGAGGTTAAACTCAAGTTATACAAGGGCAATGTGATTATCGAGGGAAGAAAATCAGATACCTCCAAATTATATGATATGGAGGAAAGTTCAATGGATGTTCAGGGAGGATTTAGTCCAGTTGATTCTGAAGGATTTATTAGAATTCAGAGTATTCGTTTGAAGAAATGGGGAATCGACAATGCTGAAAAACCATAATCCTTAGTGTTATTATATTAAAACCTGTGTTTTTAATTAATTTAATGTAGAATAAATTTTATAAAATTGTAATTTAGAGAAAATGCAACTACAATAATAAAGTCTACCCAGTATTCTGAAATCATAAATCATGTTGAAATTTTATAACGATTGCTATTCGGCTTCCTGCATAATTATTAGATGTACTGCTTAATTTGTGCATCGATCGGAATCACATATGAATTCGTCGTATTCTTTTTCGGAAGAATGTAGCAGTCGTGAAATAAACCGTAACAACTTCATTCTGCCAAGAAAGAAAAATGGATTACGGCTCTCAGATGATCCCCTGCCATTTATATGTTAATCTAATGTGCCATGGAAACCACAAAGTCAGTCTATTCTTCACTTTGCAGTATATAGTTTACACATACGTAATGATGGAGAACTGTAAAGTTGGCCGAACACCCAATCTAGTCATGTGATTTTTAAAAGTTCGAGAAATTGTGGGAATTCGTGGAATTTGTAGAATGTGTTCATATTCAAATATGAAGTCTATATGTTTGGTAGATAGGTTAAAATGGACCTTTGAAGGGAACATGACATCACATGCGTTCGCATTTGGGGATGTGGATAATGACGAGGTGAGCTTGCCACTATCTTCGCCACTGACATGTTAATATCTTTAAACATGGTTAATGATGCAACTATACATTTTCAATGTGGTGTATCAAAAGGATAACGAATTTATCGTTGGAAACCTTAAAGGCGAGCTAGCCATATTCAAAGGTACCTCGGTCTGTGGCCAACCTGTTATGACCTGTAAAAATTTAGGAACTGTAGGTAAAATATTCATTAGTAAATTACGCTACGCTCAGAATTCAATAAATTGGGTTGACTTGAAATTGAATGTACAAAAGAATGATTTTTGATTAATCCTTTGTTAGATCACTTGCATTGCTATCGGTGATATATGAAACCGGAAAGGTAACTTACAATTAAGAGAGATCGACCAGCTAACTATCTGTATTCAATCAGCATTATGTACACTAAAACTCAATAATACACAATAGAATTCGATCGTGCGTGTAAATGCTGAAGGAAAATGCCATATATTCGATATTGCTTTTGGATCGCCGAATACTACCTCTACCTCACCTATTGACGACGGAAGCACTCCACCTCCAATGCGACCCATCATTAATGATAAATCTCATGAAATTGAGAAACCAGACTTGACGTTGAGTGTTCCGGTGAATTGTAATCGTATTTTGATTGCGGATATTGGTAAGTAACGATCTCGTCAAAACCAACACCTTTTAAAAGGATTATATGGTACACTCGAAGCCCATTATCATATTATTCTTGTTATTAAATGTAGACGGAGATGGTCAAAATGAGATTATATTCGCGCGTACTGATCGTGTTCACATATATAATTTACAAATGCCGTCGCCGTCGCCATCGAATGATAGCAGTAGCATTAGTAGTGGCAGTAATTACGTGACAGAAACAATTTGGGGGGTACCGTCTAAAAAAGAAGAGAGCCTTTATCTAACGATAAAGAAGAAATGGTTGTTCGATCGTCGGGTAATTCAATCTTTTTTTCTATGTTCTTAAATTGCCATTGCCATTCATTTAATAGATTTTGGGTCATTATGTTTATAAGAAGCATTTAATAAAGTAATTATTTTGAACTCATAAAGATCACTTCTCTACTTTCGACCACCGATCCAAATACTGGAGCACCTTTATTATTAGTAAGTAAGCCAACCTGATGGCCATTTTTCTATCATAGAGAGAAACGAAAAATGCACTTCACCCGCTCCTAATGAGCTTGACTTATTGGAAGAAATAAATGAAGTATCGACCGAACTTATCAAAGGGATTAAATGGGGGATGGTAGGAAGCTTATGAGGATGCTTATTTTTGTATTTCACTAATTCAGAATTTGTCAAATAGGTAAAAGTTTAGAGATCATAGCAATTATCACTATGGACGGTGATACGATATATTTATTATTCTATTTGTAATCATTTCCATTTGATGTCTCACGAGTAGTCATATCTTTCAGGATTATTCAAATATTATGACTTACAATCCGGTCAAATATCCAAACACGAACTCAAAGTAAACCATAAACTATTCGGTATATCCGCGTTAACTCTTGACGGGGTAACCGACAACATACAAACCGGCGAATTTTCGCACCGACGGGGAAACTAACGTTGAGCTTAATGTCGAACGACGTGATGACGTGTTTATTACATGCGCGTGGAACGGAAGCACGTATGTGATTGATCATGAATTCAACGTA